ACTACAGTCGGAAACTCACCGCAAGGCCAAGACGATGGGCCTCGCCGAGGTCCGAAGCAACGTCCGATGGTGCATCAATCCGGGAAGCTTGCCGGCTGACCGAATCGCTTCCCCTCAACCGCTGCGAAAAAGGGGTTTCACCGCAAGCCTTCTCGCACCACGGAACACCTTTCCTTTTGCCAGCGCTCCTTGATTCCTGAACCAACAGTCTCTCCTCCTCTCTTGGGGAACCCAGTCTCGCCTCGAATAAACTTCCGGCACCTGCGATAGAGGAATCGGGCCAATTAGCAAAAAGAAAGCCATCCCTAAAAGGGGGGGGGGGGGGAACTCCAGGCACCTACCATAATGCTTCGCCTCCCATCTCCCTTCTGAAAGATCTCTCCACCGGCGCCTATCGTGAGCCCAGCATGCTCCCAGCCTACAAGACCATTCGGCTAAATCAGGGATCTCACCAGGCAACCAATGAGTTGCTATAAACAAAGGACAGGAAGACATTATTATGGGGCCAACCTCATATGAAGAGAAAGACAGTTCGAACAGAGTGCTTACGTGCGGAGTACCATGGAAACGGTAAAAATTCTCTGGGGATAATGTCGGTTGTCCGGACTGGAAGTAACTGACTCATCCATCCACGGTCCTCATCCTCCTCGCCACCGATCATAGAAGATCGAGTGGACCTGTGCTGAAGAGAAACTAGGCCCCGGTAACGTAATGGCCGGTACAACCTTATGAGGTGATTGAGGGTAAACTCTATCCCGGCCTTATCAACAAAATATCGCACCGACCGCACTATCCTCCAGAGAAAGGGATGAACCTGCACCAATGTTACTTGACACCTTCTACATAAATCAAGCACGACCTGGTCCGGGGAACCCGGCGCGAGAACTTGGGTATACACGCTCAAGAAACCCTCAACATGCGTCATGACATTCTCCTCGGGGGAAGGTACTTGTAGAATCATGCCTTCCCCCCTTCCGCACTCTCTCCTGATCGCCCCGAGGTTCTCCTCCCACACTGATGAAATAATCCTCGAGACGTGCTCCCGATGGCACGGAACATTGGGAGGCTTCCCCGGTATGGCGACCCTCATCGAGGCAGCGCACTCCGGGCCTCGCTCCCCCGGCATCGGGAGAGGGCTACTGGCGCCAACCAAAGGTGGAACACAGGAAGGAATCCCCTTTGTCCGAGGATCAGATGTCGAAGCGGCGGCCATGGCCACGACAGAATAAGGAGAAGAAGAGGAGGACCCAGGCAAAAACTTCCTGAAGCAAAGAAGTGGAGGGACTCACACAAATCGCCAAGCTCTACAGAGGAGATAGGCTTATCAAAAAATTGCAGAATCGCCGCTTGAAGGGCGGATAGGCAAATATATAGGGGCCAGGCAACAACTGCTCAGTTGCCCAAGAAGGCCAATTAATTCTAGCCGCGTTAACGTCACCTTCTCCTTGGGGAGTGCACTGGCAGAATCATCCCAGGCCCCCGCATAATTCATAAAATCAAGGGAGCTCGAGAGATCCCCTACGTAGGTTTGGAGGAGCTACCGGCTCAACCTCGGGATGTGGCTAGTCTTGAGGCCCCGGGTCCGACCTACGAAAGGGCTCCAAAGGCCCGATGCTCGATGCTCAAAAGCAAGAAGGAATACCAGAATAAAAGCTCCTTTCATATATTGACAAAAAGGAAAAACACCTTTGCTCTATTCGTCTCCTAGAAGGGAGAACACATGGAACAAAAAGAAGGCATACAAAAAAGGGGCTCGGAGACTACTCCTCGCCACTATCATCTTCACCCCCATCGGGGACAATCAAGAGCACCAGTCTTCCCTCCCTCACGGGAGCCTCCTCTAGGTCAGCATATAGCTCGAAACCTCTGGCCTCGAGTTCTTCCAGGACCTCCATCTTCACCTTCACTTTGGCATGTTCAACAGCTCGGACCAGCTTCTGCTCAGCCGCCAGGGATATGTCACGAACGATTGCATGCGCCGTGGCCGCATCCTCCTTATAAGTAGAAGCATCTCGTTCGGCCTCCAACTTAGCCGCGGCCAAAGCAACAATCTCCCTGCGAGTGTCCGAGAGAAGGCCCCGGTATGTCGCCAATTCCTCGGTCACTCACTACTGGAAAATCAGCCTATGGTAGCGAACGTTTTTGCAACGGTTCAGAAACCGTTGCTATAGAGTGCTTATGGCAACGGTTGTAACCTTTCCAATAAGACATAGGTATATTCGGCACACTTCAACCAGAAACGCATTGCACTTGTGTGGAAACCGTTCCCATAGCTATTTTTTTTGCAACGTTTCTTCTAACCGTTCCTATAGACGAATCTATTGCAACGGATCTGGAAAAAAAATTCAATGGGAATAGTTATGAATCCCTCTTAATTCTTTTCCCCCCTAAATTTTCGTGAAACCCGCCAAAATCCCAAATTATTTATATTCTATTTTTTTACCTGCATTTTTTATGTAATAGTACTACTAATTAATTAAAAGGATAAGGTAAAATATAAAGCTAGCCTCCCTCTCAAAGCTCACGCCCAATCTCTCTGCCAAACCTCGTCGCCGCTGCTGACACCCCCGCCAGTGACAGTCCAACGCCGGTGACAGTCCCTCTGCCAACCTCCATTAAACCGACCAAATCTCAGCAAACAATTGTCAACATTTGAGCTCTAATTCGGACCATAAACAACCAGCTCCTTCAAACAATTCGAACCATCCAATAAGTTTAGGTTTTTTTCTCGATTAAGGTCGGCTAATACGTCAAGTTCCACAGATCCCTAATTCAAGGTTTTTGCTCGATTCTCATAAATTTCTAATTTATTTCGTTCTCTTCTTTTACTAGTTTTGTAATTTCTCAACAGTTAAGCCCTAATTTGCTGATTTCATTTTGCAATTTCTCAATAGTTGAGCGCTAATTCTCAAATTTCATTCCTAACTGAAGAAGAATTTGCCACCGGGTAGTTGTGGAATAAATATCATCGTAAGTTCCTTTACACCAGATTAATTGATTTTAATTTTATTTTTAGGGTATCTAAGCGATATACTGTTATTGATTAGAAATACACAATTTTTATTGTGTTGTGATCTTTTTTCTTGGGGAATATTGTGCTGATAATTTCGTTGATAGACTATTGGAACTCCGATTTCCACAAGGTAAACTTGAACACTGCAATCGCTGAATATGTTTTCCTTAAATAAAATTTAAAACTGGTTCGTGCATATGAAGATTTGCAGAATTCACTGTGCTTTTCTTCCTCCATTTGTCTAACTGTTAATTGTCAATGTGAATAGTAAACTGTTTCAGTGAAAGTTCAGTACGGATTTGTTCACTGCCTTCTTTACTCTTATCTCAAATTATTTTTGATTTTTCTATTGGTGCTATTCTCGCCCTTGGGACGGAATATTAAAGAAAACACTTATTCCATATAGTGTTTGCACCAAATTTTTTTTGTGCTTCTGCTTTTTGAGTGAGCTTCTGTTGTATTAGTTACCTTCTTCCCCTAAATATATCGGTGGTGGTGGAATATGCATATTTATATAGTATATGTTATTGTCCTTGTGAATGTAAAAGTCATACCTGGGATTCCCATAACGTTAATATTTCCTTCCTGGACTCATTCAGCAGATGCGGCGTAGTATATTGTTTGTAATAAATATTACATATACGAGTTTGATCTTTTAGGAAACAACAAAAACATACTTGTTTCCATTTCCTTTCTATCCTAGTATTTTTCACAATCATTTGCTTTCTGGATTTGATTGGATTTTTCCTGCACTTGAAACTGTTTTTTTGTCAATCTGCTGGAATGTTAAATTCCTTTATGTGTTTGATCGAATTATCCATGCACTTGAAACTGTTTTTTTTTGGGTCAATTTGTTGTGATGTTAATTCCTTTTATGGGTTTGGTAGAATTGTACCCGCTTAAAACTGGTTTGTTTTTTTCAATCGGCTGGAATGTTAAATTGGAGATTAGTTTTGTCCTTGGTAAAAGGAAATGATTGTCTTGGTATATCTTTGTCTCCTGTTTGATATTGGTTCGCCAAACATGTAACTCTTTAAGATCAAGTCTTTGGATTGTTATTAAAGTGGCTAGCTGAGAAGTCGCCACTCTATAGATTGACACTAGATTGGCTAGTTAGGTTGTTTGACTATATGCTAAAGGCATCATATATATATGCTGTACTTTTTATTTTTGGATACCATAAGTAGATGATAAGTGCCAACTTTGCCTCACTATATATTGGTAGCCTGAAATAGCAACATAATAATAAATACCTGGTGAGTGATTATATTCTGAGGCTTTAACTTTCATATAACTTAACAATAGCTTTTGAAGAAGAACCATGCAAATTTCTTTTACAAATTAGAGTGTCTGAAATGCTTAATGCTATATTGTTGCTCTCCAAATCTATGCTACCAAATCTTAAGTTATATTTTCAATGATGCTGCCAAATTTATTGACTCATTTTATTTGCAGAAACAATCCAAAATCAATATTGAGAATCGAAAAAAGTTGAAGCATCCACACACTGCTGGCAAGACAAGTTTTGCTCTAGTCCGCGAGGTTTGATGTTTTATCTTTTTTTACACTATCTATACCCAAGTAAGAATACACCATTGACCAGTTTCCATGACAAGTGAAGATGATTAAATTTTGCCGCATCTTACTGGTAATAATGATAGTTTAACAAATTGGCACCAAATCGTCATAGTTCAGTATCTGGGAGGTGGCGTCATGTCTCAACTTGTTGTTTTCTGCTACTTAAGTTTTGTTATCATCTAAGAAGTGAAAACTATCGACATGTTTCTTTATATAGTATGTTTATCACTTTTTTAATATGAACTTGTCAGCTTTACATGAAAAGTTTTTCATATTTGTTTTTATGTAACCAGGCAAAAAAAGAAGAAAACTTCTGATAATCTATCAAGTAAGGACATCTTTGTGGCTACCAAAAAAGAAAACCTGGTCGAGTATACAAAAGCTCATATGAGGATACAATTAGTAAAATTGTACGAATTTTCTATTTTAATGCTTGGGAACAAGAAATTACACTTAATGTCGTTTCACAACTTCGACGTATGAATCTAGGATTACACATTGATCCTACATGTTGAATTTTAGTGCTCGTTCACATGGAGAAGCTATATTTGCTCAACAAAATGCTATTCAACTAATCAATCGCCTCTCTACTGGTAGTAACAATCGAGGTTAGTACTTACTCCAAATGTTACACCCCTTCTTTTCTTTCTTCTTCTTCTTCTTCTCCTTCTTCTCCTCCTTCTGTTACTTCTTCTACCACATCTCTCTTTCTCTGTTCACAGTTTTCTTTTCTTCTTGTTCGCAACTGAGTGATCTCGCTTCGTGCACGCAAGATGTTTGACAATTTTTCTTACAGGAAAATTAGTATGCTGGCCAAGTCCGATTAATATAGTAATTTTGTTTTTTTCATCTTCTACTGGTTGTGTGGCTTTCGGTATAAGGGCTAGTTTGATGTTGGTTAAGTGGTGGATCTTTAATTAGACTCTGTTTGTGTCTTCATGTGCTGTTCGGATATTACAATCTCCTGCTTGACATCTGCTTGTTTTTCAGGCACCATTTTCTTGATGATGATCTAAGATGCAAAATTTCACAACCGAACTTATAACACCGATAACTAAAAAGATAAAAACTTAAACAGTAATCTCATTAATTAGAAAAATAATCTACTTAAATTGCAAACCATAAGTGAAAAAAGAAAAGACAACCTAAGACTTGAAGATTGTAACAACTTCAAGGCACTCTGTTACTTGGGTTTTGTTAGGTAGGTGCCTGTGTTAGTTATATATAACCACAAACACTCTGTAACTAAAGATATACTGCATTTGCCAAATGGACATACGTCCAAAAATTAATGAACTTTTTATGGCTTTAGAAGCTTCCCTAATAATAAATGTTATTAGGCCTATAAATCTAGTAGTGAAAAGACCAAGAAAAAAAGAGGAGAAGAGATTCCATCAGTAAAGTTCAAAGCTTTGAATACTATAACTGCCCACAGAGAATGCTTGCTTCTTTTCTACACTAAACAGTGACTAAAAGAGAATAGTTGATAATGTGTCAAGAACAACTAGCCAAGATCATTGATGACACCGATATTGAGAGTATTGATATGATAATTGTCCCAAGATCATTGTGTCAAGAAATATATGCTTTATGCTCAGGCCATTGCATTGGTATTTCTGCACATCAGGATCATAGCGGTAGGTTCTATGAACTTGCTAAGGGATATTCTGACTGCCTCTTTTTCACAAACTGTGCGCCTGACATTTCGAAGATTGCTAAGGAAACATTTTTTTCTTTTTCCTTTGATAAGTGAGTTTTGCAAGGAAACTGGTCTGTTAGTTCTGCAGATCTTTGCTTTTCGAAAGTCTTTGATATGGTCAATGCTATACTCCTGTAGCAGTGTGAAGCTTTCAACTTTTTTTTTTTTGCATAATGGACACGATACCTTTACTATTCTTACCTCTTGCTAACTATACTAGCCGTCGAAAGAGAGCTAAATTGTCTGAAGCATGTGAAAGACATATTACAATTTAAGTATGCAACTTCATCTTTTTTGTGTTAATATCAATTTGTTTGTTGATACTACAATACTACTGCATTATCATGTTAAAACTATTCTTCGTGTTTTTATTTTGTCATAAGAATGTATTAGGTGTACTCTCTAGCAATTAATTATTGAAACTAATTGTTGGATATGAATGTGTGAAGTTGGGTATGAAACTAACAACCTGAAGGTGTGCACAATACTTTTTTCTTTCTACTTTTAATAGCTTCTATTGATATTACTTGGAGTTATTGAAGATGCTTGTTACAACAAGTAAAGTTATTTTTGCTGGCGCATATTAGTATGAAGAAGTATTTCTGCCTGCTGTCGCTTTTTGTGTTTGACTGAGAATGAGATATGAAGTTCTTGCCGTATGAAATATTTCTCATTTGACTGGTTTTTCTAAAATATGAAGTTACGGCCTTTTTCTTAATGCTTGCCTGCCATATTTAATATTGTCACATGCAACTTATACTCCATAAGTCGGACTCATTTGGATATTATTTGGATGGTACTCCCTAACAACTTGCATATCTTTTGACTTATTGTAAAATTGATTAAGTGGAACTATATGTTAATCTTGTGTATGTTGCTTTCCTTTCCATGTGAGTTCTTTTTTTAATTAATTGCTATGCAAATAAATTTGATATAACTTAGTTTTTTGATGGTTTTGTAGGTAAAGCAAATCAAGAAGGAGTAGACAAAAGCAGTGAAGTACTTTAGATATTGGTTGATGGTTGCAAGGTCTTCATATGTTCTAGGAATTTTTTATTTTAGAAGTTCTATGTATGTCAACTCTTGAAGTTGTCAAACAGTATTGTACATTTTTGTTTAATAAAAGATAATACTACTTGATTATTTGGATTAGCATTTTGTTGTTGCATATTTTCTTTTGTGATTTATATAAATTAAGTATATATATAAATAAATAATTATTGTAATAAACCATCATCCCATTGCAATAGGCAAAACCCGTTACGATAGCTCTTAAAAACCGTTGCGATGGCTCTTAAGACCTCTAATAACCGTTGCTATAGCATCAAAAACACGTTGCAATAGCCAATACAATCGTTGCAAAAAATGACAATTGCAACGGTTCTAAACCGTTACATTTGAAATAATAATCGTCACACTAGAATGGGTCGCGACGGTTCTTAAACCGTTACAATAGAAAGACCTATTGGGACGAATTTCGAACCGTTGCAAAAAACCGTTGCAGTAGGCCTATTGACACGCGACATGATGTTACGGGTGCTAAACCGTCCCAATAGATCTAAGGCAATGGTTTTATTACCTATTGCAACAGTTTTTTAACCGTTGCAATAGGCCAATTTTTTAGTAGTGACTGTCTCGCTCCGTTCCTTCAGCCCGGAGACCTCCACTTCTAATTCATTAATCCGCTAGCTGCTTTGCTTGACCTACGATTAGAGGCAAGACGATGAATATGAGAATACAGAACATGTATTGATACAGAGTAAAAGAGCAGGTATGAGCAATGCAGAATAACTGAGCAGCAAGAACGGCCTTCTCCCGAAGCGCCGCCCCCAAAGAGGCCCGAAGCTCCCCCAACTCTCTATCTCCCCGGGCACCGCGAGCCTCTGAGTCTTGTAATTTAAAAGCAATGTTATTATGCTCCTTCTCATGGCATGAAAGTTACCCATGAAGCTGAAGAATGGCATGATCATACATCTCTTTACACTACGGCACCACGAGAAAGTTAAGAATGATGACGAATAATGCCCGAAAGCGAAAAGAAACGCGCAAGGAAAAATCATCACCTGCTGCAAAGACTTCTCCGCTGCTTTGACGGCGCCAGAGACGTTGAGATCAGCTCCGTCGATTACGCCATCAAGAATGTTGGCAATAAAACCTTCCCCTCTGAAAGGAGTACCAACCTTGGCACCGATCATCCTTTCAGCATCCCTCAGCTCTCCTGATGAGACTGGATAGTTCTGAATAAGATCGTTCGGGTCGTCGATTTCTTTGAATAGCGACCCGTGTTCTTGGAAGGCCCCGAACTCCGACCCATCATGACCGATAGTCCTGCTAGCAGAAGCTACATGGAATCCGGCCGCATGATTCGAAGCCACATCAACGTCCTCTTTGAGGACCTCCGGCTCCTTAGCCCTGCCGGACCTAGCCGTCCCAGACTCAGCAGCCTCCGACTGGGGCGCCTGTAAATCTCTCTCGCTGGATTTTGTTGTCCTCCTCAACGGACTGCCATCATCGTCCTCCCCCTCAACATCAGGGTTCAGTCCGGAAGTTAGAGCAGCAGTTTCATCAGGACGAGCAGTGGCTGCCTTGTCTTTCCTTTTCTTGTTCATATCGGGCCCCAAGTCCTCTGCTTCACCGTCGGGGGGGGGAGGTGGCCTCATCTGCATATTCTCTCCAAGGCCTGTACCAACACAATAAACGTGATACGCCATTACTTAGAGCTCAGAAGGGAACACAAAATGCGAAGCACGAATGGTATGGAAACCTCACCTTGATTCTTAGCTACCCGACGCTTCTTAGCCATGACGGTCCAGGGCTAGAGACGATACGGGAACTTTTCATCCAAACGCTTGATCTATCCCGTAAAATCTAGGACAACCTCGGGATGCCAAGCAGCGGCTGGAGAAAGCACAAAGGGGTAATCGCGACAAACAAAAACATAATTAAGAAACAGCTAAAGGGAAATTCACTTACGTCGATCGTTCCATCGCTCGGGAAAAGGCATCCTCCAGGCCGGGATGATATCCGAGGTTCTCACTCAAATAAATCTGCTCATCCATCCCCGGTCCTTCCCCTCGTCAACACTTGTGAAGAAAGATTTTTTGGACCGATGTCGAAGCTTGATTATGCCTCGAGACAGCCGAGGGCGGTACAATCTGATCAAATGGCTGAGGGTAAAAACCTCGCCTGTAGCCCCTTCGGTAAAATGCCTGAGCATCAACACGATTATCCAAAAGGACGGGTAGATCTAGCCAAGAGTCACTCGATATTGAGCGCAGAAGTCGAGGATAACCGGATCGATTTCCAAAGGAGGAGATTCGACAGATTTATCAGGACCCAGGGTGAATGGGTAAGTGTATATGTAAAGAAAGCCATCCTTGAAGCCGATAATGTTGTCGCTTGGGTCAGGAATTTCTATCTCCACTGCCTCACTCCATCGGCAGTCCTCCTTCACTTTGTCAGCATCGGACACGATGCTAACACATCGAGATACGTGCTCACATCGACCCAGAGTGGACGAGGGAGTCTCGATATCGAAATCATTTGACGTGTCAATATCGGGAGGGGTCCATTGCTCTAAATAAGGAACCGATTTCTTTTCCCCCTCAAAAAATCGGGATGACGATGCGGTATCATTCCGTCGAGGGACCGTCCTAGAAGTCCTGGCCATATAAAATGGTAAAACCTTTCCGTAAAGAGAGGGAAAGATGTAAAGGTATCAAATAGCAAAAATTCTGATTTACGAGCCTGAAGGAAGGGTGAAGATGAGGAGCATCTAGCGATTGGAGCATTTATAGGAATTGTTGGGGAAGCGGAAGAGACGAACCTACGGCAGTTCATGGGTTTCTTGATTACCGCATTTGACGGTGACCCTGCACGGTTCCCTGGGATATGGAATTTAATGCTCTCAGACGGATGACGTCACAGTAATAATGGTCTTGAGATGACGATTCAATATCTTTTCCTATCACTTCGTTCTAGGAAGCGCGGAGACTATCTGTGTGCGATGAAATCGGGGGAATCCATTTCCCGCCATTAAGGTATGTTCGGAATATCATAGCACCTCGAGGCTGTGGGATCGTGATCGGGCTCCCTATCTCGAGGATCATCCACGGCCCTGCAGTAGTTTCGAGGTTAAGGGATCTCTCCGCGACTCAGCAAAGGTTACAAAGATGGGGGGACCCCCGAGGTAAGCAGCTAGAATCAATAGGCTCTGATGTCTTGTCTAGCCGTCCCATCCTCGTGTCTTTTCATTTAATGCACTCTGTACTATACCGAGTTCCCTCGTCTATATAAGGGGAACCCATACCATT